TAAAAAATGATCCACACTTCGGTTATATTAAAATACCCATCCACGTCCACAGCTGGTGACACTGAGTATGTATGTGAAATGGTTCTGTCGAATAGATGAGTGACAGTGGATAATGAGGCAAATAATTTGCAAATCAGCCATAGCTCTGCTTATGAAATCATCCATGACAGACTTGGGTTTCAAAAAGTTTGTGCGAGTGATGCCTGAAATGGAGACAGAGACGATGACATGGAGCGATGGAGCAGCTGGAGACTTTAGATCCAGAGAGGGAGAGCGACTGTGTGCTGAAGACCTGAGGGGTACAGGGGAGGGATTACAGGGTATACCCTTTGGTTGGTTGATGATGCATGCAGGGGATTGTAAACATGGCAATGAGACGATGTACGATAGAATGAATGTAAAACTAATGTTCTCCTGTTCTCCCATGTAAACTATCACATAATTCACAATAAAACATTTAAGAGAAAAAAAAAAAGTTTGTGCAAGATGGGTACCATCTTTTGTGCAAAATAGCTTATGGAAGAGTATAAACAGAAGTGTTTGGACTTCTACACACAATATTTAGACCGATGCTCGAAGAAAGGTAAAAGTTTCTTTAAAGTAAACCACTACTGGTGATGAGACACGATTCATCACTGTGAGCCTGAGAGTAAACAGCACAGTACAGAATGGAAACATCCTCAATCGCCAACCAAGAAAAAGTCCAAAAATCAACCATCAGCCCAATGTTTACGGTTTTGTGGGGTTCTAAGGAGCTCTGGTAGCGTAGCGGTTATGAATCGGGCTGCAAACCACAAGGTCAGCAGTTCGAAACTACCAACCACTCCGCGGGAGAAAGATGAGGCTTTCTGCTCCCTTAAAGATTTACAGCCTTGGAAACCCTGGACAGGGTCGCTATGGGTTGGAACCGACTCGATGGCACTCAACAACAAAGGCCAGTGAGTCCTGGTGTGGCACTGTGGGTTAATGCGCCAGATTGCAAAGCTGTTTAAACTACAAAGTTGGCAGTTCAAGCTCACCAGCTGCTCCTTGGAAACCCTATACAGGGTTGCTATGGGTCGGAACCGACTCGACGGCACTTCACAACAACTAAGGGCCAGTACTGGAACACTATCAGGAAAAAAAGGCCCAACAATCAACAGTGCTCCTTACAGTAAGATGCTCACTGAAGATCTGAAGCCTAAATTTCGGATTAAACATGGAGGACTGCTAATCAAGGATGTTGTGATTTTGCATGACAATGCACATCCGCACACCTCTGCCCACACTGTTGACACCCTGCAAAGCATCCTCCCTATCATCCTGATCTTGCTCCATCAGACTTTCATCTGTTTGGTCCACTAGGAGCAGCTCTTTGAGGACAAAGATTCCCTTCTGATGAAGAAGTGAAGACAGTGGTGCATTCGTGGCTCACAGCTCAGCCTAAACCATTTTTAAATACAGGAATATGAAAGCTTGTTGACAGATGGACAAGGAAAATTGAAAGGAAAGATTATGTTGAAAAATGATCCATTTGTCTTTTCTAAAAGTTGTCTTTTCTAAAAGTTGATTCAAATGAATTCTAGAGCCAGAGTGTGGATCATTTTTGACTCACCCTCATAGATGGCACATACTAGAAACTGTTGTTGTTAGGTGCTATCGAGTCTGTACCGACCCATAGCGACCTTACGCACAGCAGAACAAAACACTGCCCGATCCTGGCCAACCTCACTACTATTGCCACAGTTGAGTCCATTGATGCTGTCGCTTGGCCAATCCATCTCGTTGGGGGTCTTCCTCTTTTTCTCTGACCCTCCAACTTACCAAACATGATATCCTTCTCCAGTGACTGGTCCCTCCTGACAATATGACTGAAGTGTGAGAGATGAAGTTTGGCCATCCTGGCATCCAAGGAGCACTTTGGCTGCACTTCTTCCAAAATGGATCATCTATTGTTTTTTTGACAGCCCATGGCACTTTCAATATTCTCCTCCAACACCATAACTCAAAAGCATCAATTCTTCTATGGTCTTCTCTATTCACTGTCCAGCTGTCACATGGATATGAGGTTTTTGAAAATACCATGGTTTGGGTCAGGCGCACCTTAGTCCTCAAGCTGACATCTTTGTTCTTCAACACTTTAAAAAGGTCTTATGCAGTAGATTTGCCTAATGCAATACATCGTTTGATTTCTTGACTGCTGCTTCCGTGAGTATTGATAGTTGATCCAAGAATAATGAAGTCTTTGACAACTTCAATCTTTTCTCCATTGATAAGAATGTTGTTTATTGGGCCAGTGGTTAGGGTTTTTGTTTTCTTTACAATGAGATGTAATCCATACCAAAGAACTCTGTGCTCTTCACTTTCAGCAAGCAAGGTTGTATCATCTGCATATCACGGGTTTTAATGAGTTTTCCTCCAATGCTTTTCCTCATATAACACATATAATGAGTTTTCCTGCCACGTTTTTCCTCATATAACACAGATTCTTGGATTACTTGTTCAGCATACAGGTTGAATAAATATGGTGAAAGAATATAACCTTGTCGCACACCTTTTTTAATTTTAAGCCATTCAGTGTTCCCATGTTCTGTTCGAACAACTGCTTCTTGGTCCAGGTACAGATACCACATGAGCACAATTAAGTGTTCTGAAATATTCATACTTTGCAATGTTGTCCATAGCTTGTCATGATCCACACAATCGAAAGCTTTTGCATAGT